AAAGTTGTGTTGATTCTAACGATAACTCAAGACATTATCTTGAAATTAATTTCTGTCTTCAATTTGTGAAAAGCGAGAGACAGACATTTCAAGGAGTCATAGGAAATGGCAAAATGGTGAAGATGAAGGGTATTGTGGCTTAAAGCATCCCCTTTATTTATTTGCACAGCTTAGATTCACCATGAAACCATTTCACTTTGTCTTTTCCCATACTCAATGAAGAAACAGGTTCAAAAGGACTTTGTAGACACAAGAGAATTGACAGTCAATATCTATGAGGAGGACCTCAAAAAAAATCCCAGGAATTTATTTATTAAAAAACATATTGATTGTTACATGTTTAAATTTCAGTTACCTTTGAAGTACTCCCCGTTGAATTAAATACACCTATCGAGATGCTTTTTCACTGCTCAAAAAAGTTTTTGAACTCGTTAATTTGGATGCCTTTTAGTTCTACGTTTTTGTTTGTTTGTTTGGAGGTGTTTTTTGCTGTTGGTGTTTGTTTTTCCCATGGGCAACATGTTTCTTTGTGAGTACGTTTTTCATCTGGGAAACAAAAAAACGTCGCTCGGGGCAAGATTGGGTGAATAGTGAGGATGGAACAAGGAGGTCATGCTACTTTTGGTCAAAAGCTGAACACAGTGCACTGTGGGTTGGCGTGTTGTTATGATGAAAGTTGTTTACCACAACTCAGGATACAACCTTCTGCAGATCATGAGGCAACCTTCTCAAAACTTCCAGATAAGGTCCTTGATAGACCGTTTGATCTGGAGGAAAAAATTCCAAATTACAATCCCTCTCACCTCAAATAAACAAATGATCATTCTTTTCACTTTTGACTTCACTTGTCATGTTTTTGGGGTCATGGAAAGTGAGCGTTTTCCATGGGCTAGATTACTGTTTAATTTCTGGGTTGGAACCGTGGCACCAGGAATCACCTCCAGTTTTGACTTTGGGAAAAACAAAACAAAAAAACTCAGTGTCAACCTTCAAAGCCCGGCACACAGTCAAGCGACTTTATTCAGACCTGAGCAAGCGAGGCATGAATTTTGGTGAAACTCGTGTCATGTCCAAAGTTTCAGATAAAATTCCCTGACAGCAACTCCAAGACACCTTAGTCAATTCCACACCTTCATCAATAGTCTGCCAGAGGTCTTCCAAGAAGGCTTGATGAATTCTTACCACATTTTCTTCAGTTCAGCTGATCAAAGAATGCTTGGAATGAAGTTGATCATCAATTGACATTTCACATGGCAAAACCATTCAAAAAGTTGTGTTTTACTCAGGGTAGTGTCTTTGTAAGCAGTCTGCAATGTAACAACTGTTTCCATCACATTTTTCCCCAACAGAAAATTTCTCTGCTGCACATTGTTTATATAAATCACCCATCATGAAATAGGCAAACACACTGAAAGAATCTCCATAAAAAATTCACTGAAGTCAAACGCAGCCTCTCACAACAATCCTAGCTTGTACACTGATGACAGTGGGTTCCAGAACACTTACCTAGTGGGAAGACTGTACTACAAGGGGCCTGCCCTGCAAAAGATAATTCTGTTTCTTTTTGGAGTGGTCCCCCTTCAAATGTGTTTCTATTAAAAATCTCCGGCCTGGGTCTATTTGGAATGACCTGTAGTCAACTTTATTTAGCCTGACTTGTAGTTCCCATTTTTCTTTTAAGCCTTTTGTGGTTAATAACATCGTAAATTTATTATTGGTGAATACGACGTCTTGCTATGTTGCCCAAGATTGTCTTGAGCTCCTGGTCTCAAGCGATCCTCCCCGCCTCAGTTTCCCAAAGTGTTGGGATTACAGGCATGAGCCACTGCACCCAGTCGTTAATAACCTTTTTAAGATTTATTAGGCTGGTAAGCATTTGTCAAATAGGTCTATCTGCTTAAAGCAATGAGACAACCACAGAAGAAACCCATAGAAATACTGTAGTTTAGAAGTCCTCCAAGCAGTTCTTAGCATTACTCACTGTGACCTAATGGATCCTTTTGACTGAAAACCTTTCCAACCATGATGATGAAACAATTCAAGAATGTGCCTTGCACTGGTTCCTTCTCTCCTTTTCTGCTGCACCCATCCTAGTTCATGTACTATACCCCATGAAGGAGTATTTAACAACCTGCTAAATGCTTTCTAATGCCTGTGTCTACCTTCACCCCCCGCACCCTACCCCACTGCCAGATCTACTCTCTACTTTAAGATACTCAATGTTGCTGGGGAAAATCCAATTTCCCAATGTTCAAAGTACTCTCCATTACTCTTTCATCTTCCCTGCGTTAGACTTTTTCTTGAGTTGGAGGGTCTCACGCTGTCACCCAGGCTGAAGTGTGGTGGCATGATCATGGCAATCAATATACATAACAGGCTCAATCTCCTGGGCCCAGGTGATGCTTCAACCTTAGCCTCCCGGGTAGCTGGGACTACATGTGTGCAACAATGCTCAGCTGATTTTTAAATTTTTTTTGTAAAGATGAAGTTTTGCTATGTTGCCCAGGTTAGTCTCAAACTCCTGGGCTCAAGTAATTTACCCACCTTGGCCTCCCAAAGTGCTGGGATTAAACAGGCATGAGCCACCACACTGGGCCCCTTCACCAGACTCTTTTCCAACTCTTTGTTCAAGATAAACTAATTTACTCCACAGACCTCTAAACATAGTGTTTATGGGCTCAGAACTGTCATTTAGCTCAGCATTCCCTTGTCTGAAATGTCCCTTCCCTCTCCACCTCCTCTCAAAAAACAGCCTCTTTGCCTACTAAAATTTTAACTACCTTCAAGGCCAATGCCAAAGGTTAGCACTTTCCCAAACCAGCTCTGGATTGACTGGCCCAACAAGCACAATCTCCAGTTTAAGCAAACTTCTCCTCCTTCAGCACTTGTATTCAGCTTTCTCTTATTGCTTCTTGGCATCGTATCCCTTTCTGTTCACAGATTCTAAGCCCCTGAACTTAATTTATCCTTCTCTGTATACAAAAAAAGCATCTTGTACAATGCCTTTTATAAGGGCTCAATCAATATTGATTGAATGAATGGACAATGAAAAAGCAAGCAAGCTATTTATGTAGCTAAAATTTTCTATATGAGACACAGGTTTCATTTTTAAGAAACCCAGGTCAATGTCTAAATTATCTTGGCTATGCCTTTTAAAATAGGGTATAGATTGATATATGCAAGTTCCATGCTATCACAGAGAGAAACAAAAGAAAGTGTCTTTACATTCATGTTTTCTTCAAAGAAGATACAGATCCTTCAAGATGGCAGATTTTCACTTATTGGGAGGATCTTTCAAAGAGAAATGGTACTTTGAAGTAGTAAAGATGATACAGTCATCTGTTTGGGTTTGATCCTACTCACTCCGCTAAGGGAAATCTTATTTCATATTGGCTGAATCAGTGACATGAGTTTTAAAGATAAAACAGTTTGATAAATTGAAAATGCAAAGCTGTCCATATTTTTACCTTTGTTGTACATATTTTGAAAATACATGATTAATAGTTCACTTCTTAAAAATTCAATAGAACACTGGTAAACTAAAGGTGAAAAAGCATGTCTAATGTCCATATTATAAGACATCTTTCTACCATACTAAGACATGAGAGGACAGGGTATGATTCATGATTTACTGGGGCCATCTTTCAATTTTACCCTTTCCCTTTTCATTTAATCCTTCTACAGCATTAATTAAATGCCTAGTACTCTGCTGGCATGCAGGTACATGGTGAGCACAAAAGACATATTCCTTTGTACATTTTATTTACATATAGTTCCTTTTTCACACAAAATTTCTTCGTTTCAAAATGGAAGTCACTGGTTTTCCCTAAAAACAGTTCTTCTTGACTTTGTAGTTGTTGCTAATAGCATCATTCCTCTTCCTTGGTTCAAAGCAACAGGATCACCAAGGCGCTCAATATTTCTCACATGAGCTGTTGCAATGTTCTTCCAATCAAATGTACTAACTCTAGTACTACATTTCAAGGCATTATACACACAAATGTCTAGATTCACCATTTTTTTTTTTCTTTTTGTAGAGATGAGGTCTTGCTGTGTTGCCTAGGCTGGCCTGGAACTCCTGGGCTCCAGCAATCTTCCCCAATGCCTCCCAAAGTGCTGGAATTACAGGCTTGAATCACTCTGCCTGGACCTGGATTCATCTTCTTAAAGTGTATTACTTACTTAATTAAGGACTACTGGCTCAAATTTAGCCTTAAAGTATTATAAAATTGTCCTGATCTACTTTTCTAATCTTAATATGCCACATTTTTTTTTTTTGCAAACATACCCCTTGACTGCCTTCAAATTCAATTATTTACTATTCCAAACATACTGTACCCATTTCCTCATCTGTATATTTACTCAGGATCTTCCTCTTTGTGACTAACTCTTTCCTCTCTACACAGCCATAGAAATATTCTCCAAGAAACACCTTGAACATCAATTTCTCTACAATCTTAAATGACTCTCATTTAAGACTCATCAATGTTCGGGTTATATCATCTCTGGAAATCATATTTCATCATTTAGATTTTTCAAATAATTCCTTGCATTCTGTATCTTCAACTTGTATAATACTCCACTGAGTTATATACTCCCAAGACTCAGATAGCTTTATTTACTAACACTCAGGTTAGATGCTCAACTATATACACTAAAAGAAAATTTAAAATCAGTTTCCTTAAGCAGCTTTTCTTTCCAGTTTTATTCTAATTTCTTTCAGTTGTACAATCTTACAATATTTCAAAAAATAAATTAAAATTTGGAAGAAAAGCAGAAGTGAATCTAGGTTGAAAATTATTATAGCTACATATGTTTTTCTGCTGAAAAGTTTTTCCAATAGCTATACTTTTTTAAGGCTTTATTTATACCAGTAACTTTGTGATAAAAGACCAGGATTTTCCCAATAAATATCCATCTTGAAATATGGAGTAAATTAAAAATAATAACTGCAGTCAAACTGTAGATTACTAAAGGTGAATCAGTAGAAAACTACTTACCCCCAGTTGCCACAGTGATTTCACGAAGGAAATGGCCATAAAATGGAAAATCGAAGGACAGATTCACTCTCTGCAAGGAACAACACCAGAGAAAAAAATCAATAATTTATAGAATAGTAAATGCAAAACAAAGAGCCTTTCGCCTAAAAAAAAAAAAAAAAAAAAAAAAAAAGATGCTTCTACTGTATCCCATTATTATTGTAGTTGACTTTCAAACCTGAATCCTGGATGGTACTAAAGAATATATTTTCTGGTAATCAAGAGTTGGAAGTATGTGAAAAAAATAAAGTTAACACCATTACTGCAGTTTAGCTGTCCACTGAACAATTAGTTCGGTCATTATGACGAGCAATTTATTTTGGAATTCTTTTTAGTTTGACTAGTTCCACCAAACTAGTAAAGTATGCTATATGTCATGATACAATGACTAAAAGTCAAAAGATTTCATTTTATGCAATTACATTTGCAATTTGCTTTTTGTAAACCAATTAATGCAAGGCAGTTTCATGGGAGAAACTCTCTTGTACCTATAGATCTAAACTTGCAAACATTTTTTTTGAAACACAATGAGCTCTCCAGATTTACTATAGAATGCTTACTTTTGAAAGCATCAAGTTGTAGGATAAACAGTACTAGTTACTAGAGAGCTATTTTATTTGGCATGGGGAAAATCAATAAATTGTGTCTATTTTCTTAATTTTTTTTTTTGAGTTGGAGTCTCACTCAGTCGCCCAGACTGGAGTGCAGTGGCCGCTCCTGGCCACCGCAGCCTCGACCTGCTGGGCTCCGGCGATCCTTCCGCCTCAGCCTTCCCAGTAGCAGGAATTACAGGCATGCGCTACCGCGCCCGCCTGATTTTTTGATTTATTATAGAGATGAGGTCTCGCCTGCCCAGGCGGGTCTCGAACCCGCAGGCTCAGGCAATCCACTCACCTCAGCCTCCCAAAGGCGCGGGATTACAGGCTGAGCCACCGAGCCCGGCTATTTTCTTAATTTAAAAAAAAATTATATATATAAATAAATATGGTGTGTGTATATAGTTTTTAGAATAATTTATATTAAAATTTTAAGCCCCAAACACAACAAAGCAAAATCAATAAAAAACACTAACTTTCTGGATGTTTGAAATGATATGGAGTATATATACTATTGCTAGGCAAGAAACAAGAAAAATATTGTTATAACAAAGATGATGAACCCAGAGGGAAAGTAACTAGCTGGTGAGAGCCCAACTTCCTACCATAAAAGGCTATTATGTTAAAATTCTCCAGTTTCTATATTCTATCTTTACTAGCACACAGCTCTTTAAAAACAGAAAAGTATATCTAGATTGAATTTAGACTTTTCCAATCTTGCAAATGATTGCTTTTTCTTATCCATCAGAGATTTTTAATGACTTATTTGGCATGAAATTAATCACTCAAACTTTATGGTGATTTTCAATTAGTTGTTCTTCCCTTTTTAATGAAAACCACATCTTTATAAAGGGTTTGTCATCGTCTTTATTTTGTGCTAATAGGAACAAAAAAAACCGTTTTCACTGCACTAGCTGAAATGAGTGGCCACTAAAAACCCTAAAATAAAAGCTTTAAAGGCAAAATCATTTATCGCAAAGAAAATGTCAGAAATAATATTATAAGCTCACTTGCTTAGCATGTTGTTTTCTATCATTCCAATCTATTTCCATGCTCATCAGTAATTTGATAAAATTTACAATCTCAAGCATTGTCACTTCCAGAATCAGTGTTCGGGTTAAACATATATTGCTAATAAATCCTTACCAATTACTACCAAAGATGAACTGAAGCAATATGACATGAATTTCTCAGCCACTGCAAACATTTAAATTTGTTTGGAATTAGATTAAGATACATGAATACATACATAAGTCAGAGATTTTTTCTTGAGGAGTGAATTGATCTTTCAAGAAAATCTGCTAATTCATCAATCCTTCAAATAGCAACATCAATGATTGAAATGCTTTCCTGTATCAATAACCAGGTTTCCGTAGTTACCACCACGACCTACTTCACTCTGATATAAGATTATAATGACAATTTAGTAATATGATAGCTACAAAGTAGTTATGAAATCCATCAGTGTATCTCCAGTCACTATTGACACTGTTTCCCAAGTGTTGGTATAGGTCATTATTATTGCAGTTACTTCTTCAGAGTTATCTTCAAGGAAAATTCAGTTTCCCCTTGAATTCATTCATTCATACTATCTAGCATATCACTCCACCACTTCAAATCACTCAATCTAGAATCCCATTGTCCCAAGAGTCATGCCAACTTAGTGAACATGAATTCTCAGGTCCACTATGAACTGGTCCCTGCTACTTCACGACTCCTCCTCAGATCGTCTACTCTAGCCAGCCATAGTTGGCATCTTTTTGTTCCTTGCACCTGCCACCTTTAACTCAGCTCTGGTAATCACATCCCTTCTGACATGAATAGTCTCTCAGCCTTGATCAGTCATGGCTTCCATATTCTTCAAGTCTCAGATTAGTATAAATTACTCCCCAAACCAACCCTGATATAATGACTTGGGGCAAATAAGTTGTTTGGAAGGTGACCCTTAGAAATCACTTGCTAAAGGAAGCAGGAAAAGTGAGACAAGAAACGGAGAAAAACCATAACAAGAACAGTATTGGATATGTTACCACTATAGCCAGTTGAGCCTCAGTTTCCATGGAGACCCTCGGGGAAACAGTAGAGAGAACCGTGCCTCAGAATCATTTCATCGGAGGCCAGGAGGCTGTAAGGTTTGCCTTCTGCTGGAAGGACTCCATGATTAATAGAACATGAAATTTGGGAGTGTGTGAGGGGAAGCTACAATCAAGCACAGATTTCTACCTGGGTGATTGGAGGACCCACAGTGCCACCAACTGACATGATGAATACAGGAAGAAGAGCTTTTTAGGTTAGATGTGAGAAAACTTGCTTGCTACTAATTAGTTATGCATCCTTTAATTATACAACACAAAATTTTAAAATGATCCCAAACTATATATGAAATGAAGGACTGTTCTACAACCAAAATTATAACAGAACCCTGGGCATTGTCACAAAATGCAGTTCTCAACAAAAGGAAACATAATACAAAAATTATAGTGTAATTTCTATACCTCGAACATTATGCTGCGTTGGATCTTATCCTTTAAGAAATATTTAATATAAAAGGAAAAAAGATTCAGGAAAATGGTCATGTGATGATCCAATAAATTAAGAGTCTGGGCAAAACACACAATAAAAGCTCAGAAAAGCGTTAAACAATATGAGAAACATAAATAAATTCAACTGAGTTTGCTAAGTATTTTCTTACATTCTTTAGAGAGAATGGAGAATGGTAATCAGACAAACCAAGGGATATGGTGGAGGATAAACATACAAAATATTTTTTGAAGACTTCATAGAAGTGTATAAAGTCCAGGTCATTTGGGGTAAATTTATGGCAGCTACATTCATATACATATCTATACTCTGTCTTTTAAAGCCACATCATGTTTTCCCAAAATATGTCCCGTTGGAATTTCTGTTGGTAACAGCCTATCAAACTTACTCAGGATCATACACCTAGTTTTATCAGGGTGCCAACACCCCTTCTTGTCTTCTTTACATATTTTTAAGTCAGTTGCTATCCATTATTGCACTAATTATCATGATCTCGGCTGATTCTTTTTTTTTTGAATTGGAATCTCCCTTAGCCTTCCAGATTCTTTTTTAATAACACATAAATTATAATCCTAAATATACCCTATTCCCATCTAATGTTTGCCCACTTCTCATTGGTATTATAAGGGTAAATTAATTAGTCAATGCCTGCAAAGCCTTGGAGACAGAAACCTCTTAATGAGTTAAGAATCTGAAGTGGGCATACCCATAATCCTCAAATCCATGTTTTAAAATGTCATTAATCAAAACTTATTTTTGTTTTAGGACAGTTTCTAATTTATAATAATAAAGATACACTTCTCTGGTTCCCTCAAGTCTTTTTATTTCATCTTTATAAGAGATAATCCTGCTGAAAGTAGCTTGTGGGAAGAAAATTAGTAGTGAGTAAAGTTTTAATAATTGCTGATTGCATAAGTTCCTGATAGCAAAGGATCTAAAAAATACAGTGAGCATCTTCTTATTCAAGAATGAATTAATGGATTAATGATTAACTTTTACACACATATTTTAACATTCTATTTTCAATCATTTGAATAATTTTATGTCTGAGCAGCATAAATTTGTCACTTGAAGCTCTCAGATAGGTGGAATATTACTAATATTATTATTGGCAAAATGAGATTGATGTTATTTTTTATCCAAAAAATTCAAAACATAGATCAAATAAGTCTTGAGCCATATTATTTTCAGTTTATTTATTTATGCCAAGTAATAACTTTGGAAAGAACCACAAATGTAAGGAAAAAAATTCTTTACTTATATAGCTATTTCTAGTAATATTGGCTTATTTCCAGGAAGATTTATAGCCCTAATACACAAAAAATAATTGAATAAATATAAAACAACTATGATAAATTTAATTGGGATGTGATATAGTCTTCTAAAATGCACATGACAATTGACTAACTTTCCTGAAACTGAATAAGGGCTACATAAACTGAATAAGGTCCACATAAAATTTATTATCTATAAATGCTTATTTTAAATTTTCAATTGTTCTTTCCTAATTTTTGAGTGATCCAGCATGGTTTTGGATTCAGAAAGACTTGAAATTACATTTCAGCTTTAGTAGTTAGTAGTTGTGTGATTTCATAAATCATTTAACCTTTTAAAGCCAGTTTGTCCATCTGCAACGTCAAGACATTTCTTTAAAAGGTTATTATAAGGATCAAATGACCAAATAATACCTGAGCCTTCACAAGGACTGAGTCAATGATGGTTAACATTATAGTATGCACATGAAGGTGTCTAGCATAGCAATCGTTTCTTAAAACTAGTTTCTTAAGCAAAATAGTCTTTTATTTGATTCCTAACAAATATCTGAAAATGACTTGATATATGTTCTTTCTAATGCAGCAACACAACAGTTTTAAAAAGGATTAAACCAATTCAG